TCCCGCTCACTCCGAGGCCCAATTTGTCGTAACAGCCTCCCGATGGGGGCTTCATCCTCTTTATTCTATCCGACGAACACCTCCCAGCAGTTGCCTCCGAAGGGAGGGGGAGGGTCATGTGATGGAAGTGGCGAGAGCTGATGGGCCCAGCCTCCCCGTGTGGCCTGCCAGAGATCAGAGCGTGCATGACCTACCCCGCTTTCGCTTCCAGACAAAACCAAGTCATACCACGCGCCTCCTCGTCAAGCGGCCTGACCAGTACAGGCCGTAGTTTGGCATCGCTTGGTATCTTTTGGAAGCGAGGGTGGTCAAACGCGAGGTAGGTTTGTTTGCCCCCTAAGAGAGGCCTTTCCAGCTTGGCGGCTCCGGGCCCCGAGGCTGCCAGCGGCGTGGCCCGACCTCCACGCGTGGCCTCTGCTAAGGGGCCACTCCGCCTCGGAGGCCTCGGTGCTGGATGCTGCCGGGGGGGCTCCCCAGGTCCGGGGGCACCTGCGAGCCCTACCCCTACCCCCCGCGATTTCTGAGGGGGAGGGGGGGGTCACTTCGTTCGGGAGGTCCCGAGCGAAATGATCCCCACCCCCTCCCCCTCGGAAGTCCTGGGGGGCAGGGGTAGGGTTCGCGTGCGGCTCCCTACCAGGGCGGCCCTTTGCCTCGTGCACCACCTGTGTCTCCGTTTTTGTGCTGTCAGGTGTGCATGGAGACAAGACTTCTCTTCCTCCCTTTCTCGCGCACAGGATTGCGTTGGCCACCTGTTCCGCTGGGCGCGAGGCTCCTCGCCCTCCTCTTCCTCCTCTGCCTCCTCCTCCACCTCATCCTTCTCCTCCTCCCCCTCCTCCTGAGGCGCCGCTCAGCCGCGCCTGCGCCCCCCGTGGGGGAGTGTGCGTGGCCCTCTCCCCTCCTGGCGGTTGCGGAGGTGCCTCCGCTGCGCCACCCGCCGGCAGAGGGGCAGAGGAGATTGATTGGAGACGGTCTGTTATGTCCAGAGCGGGTACGATGTGTTGGCTATCTTTGATTTTTTTGGGGTTACGTGTTGACTATGTTCTATGTGTCGCCCGGGGCCCCCCTGTAGGGGGACAGGCCCGAACTCAGGCCAAGAGGGGGGTGAGGACTAGGGGGGTGGTGGACATCATTGGGGTATAGCCAGGACCCCGGGTAAGGGGACCCGGTTAGTGGTAGGGCCTTGGGGCCTCTCAATTGGCCAGAATCACTGAACCAGGTCTGCCTTTGCTGGTGCTTTTCGGGTGACGGCAGGCCCGGTTAGCGGAACGGGGCGGGGGGGGGCGTCCCCCAGTACACATCATTAAACCAGGTTCCACTCAACCTAGTTCTGCCAACGCCCGAGGTTCGTTTTGTTCAGAGCGGTCGGGGACCGGGGATGATCACGCCACGGTTCGCGCCGGCGCCGTCTGGGAGTGCGTGGGATTACCGAGCGCGTTCTATTGTTCGCGCAGCGCCTGCTCGCAGACATCCCAGCACAAGAAGATGTGTTCCTCCACGTACTGGAGCGTAAATCCCCCGCGGCGGATCAGGGCCATTTGCGAGCCGCCACTTGTCGACAGGGATGGCTCATTCCAAGGCGACGCCGGCGCGCATCGTGCCGTGGCCAGGGGGGGCGCGGGGGCGCGCACTGGCGTGATCGCAAGTGGGTAGAGCATGGGCTCGTGTGCGTGCAGCGGGGTGGTGTTTCCCTCCCGAAGGGTCGGGTGTTGCTGGAATTGTGGAGGGATCAATGGAGAGGAAGCATGTTGCCAAATGCTTTCCACATGTCTAGAACATGTAAACCAACATATCTGAAACATGTGAAGAGCATGTTTGGAACATGTTAAGAACATGTTTCATACTTTTTGAACACATATTTGATTCAATATTAGGACTGTTAGAGTGTCCATTGTCGTGGCATCCACAATGCTAGAAGTGCCACTGGGCCAAGGTGCCCAGGATTCTAGGGGGACCCCAAGCGGTCTCCAGAGCACCCCCTCACGAGGCCCAGAGGGCCCCAGCGGCTCCTAAATGGAGCGAAAAACTGGGGGCACCTTGGGCCAGGGGTGCTTCTAGCAACACCCGAAAAGGCGAACGTGGATCTTGCAGTGCGCTGCATATTCAGAGGGGACTTCTCCACAGACCCCATCGCGTCACAGAACATTCGCCGCTGAAAATGTTCCCATACGTTTTGCCTCTGGGGGCCCTTGCCGGGCGCTGGGACTTTCGAACAAAAGAACAGTTCAGGATGGTTACAGTCAACCCGCATGGTAAGGATGGACAATTTCTTAAGGGTGGCCTTGCATCCTTTCCTTCTCGGTCCATCCTTGCCCACTTTCGTTGGCCGGGCCCCGCTCGAAAAGACTCGAAATGGGCGTCCAAGGCCCTTGCATCCTTATCGCGCATCCTTGTGATACAGGTCGACTGCGCCAGTTCCCGGGAATGGGCCCAGACCTTTGGGGGTCCACGTCATGAAAAATCACGAGGTCGGATTTGGGGAGGGTGCATGCGTTGCTTTCCACTTTGGGGGGGCCCTCTCTGCTCTGAGGTTCGAGGTTTGGAGTTTTCGGGCATTCTCGTCGGTGCTCGACGGTTTTCCATCCTCGGGGTGCTTTCCAGCGGCTGCGCCTCGCCGAGGGCGTTCCAGAAGTGCCCAGATCCTCCCGAGCGGCCGCCAGAGACCCGAGCTATGACCCGAAGGCCGGACGAGGAGGATCATGGAGGGCGACAGGCCAGGGCAGGAGGCATCGATGCGGCCCGAAAGGTGACGCAGAAAGAGGGGGTCTTGGGCTCCGGGCGTGGATCCTCCGATGTTGCAATTTCTCTTGGCAGCGTGGAGTCCCAGGACCTGGGGTGGGAGGAACTGTGGCCTTGTCGAGGCCCCCTGAACCCCCCTCGCGGGCCCGCGGGGGTTCTTTTTTTCCAGGGGCCTTGGAGGGCTTCTTTTCTGCAGCCCTCGCTGCCCCCCTCCATTCCCCTTGCCTTCCAGGAGGGCTTAAAGATAGCACCAGGACGTCGGCGTCCTGATCCCCGTCGAGGTCTGACGCGCTCCAGATCGATCTGTAGGTCTGGGGTGCTATTTGTAAGCACTCTGGAGGGTCAGGGTCATCGCCCCCGCCCCCAATTCGCGCCCGACGGAGGCCGAAGAGATGGCGTGGAGCGGGGCGCTGCAGGGCAGGGGAGGGGCACACCGGCAGGAGGGTCTCCTCCCTGGTTCTTGCCCCCCGGGGCGGTGCGGGCCGGGAGGTCCGCAGAAGAGATGGGAGGGTGCCGTGGAGGCTTAGTTGTAAGTCGGGCCTGTCCCTCTACAGGGGGAATTTCCCAAAATAGTTTAAAACATAGTCTGGGGATGATATGTCGACTACGTTTGATAATTTGCGGTGCATTGTTTGTATTTTTTAATTTGTCGTCCAAAATCCGCCTGTAGGGGGACATGCCCGATTTAGGTTTCTTTGCTGTCGGGCTGAGGTGTAAGAGCGAGGTCGGTTTGGGGGGGCGGCCTAGTGTTCCTCGTGTTTGTTGGATGTCCTTGTGCATCCAGGGGAGGATGCCCTGTGATGTTTTATGTTGTTCTGGGCCTCCAGGATGGGGTCCGAGTAGACGGGGTCGGTGGATCGCGCCGTATCACCCATTCTTTGTCGATGCGGCTTGATGCGCAGGCCGATTTTCTCTACACCGACTCCACCGATGCATCGCCAACGTCGCCGCTGCATCGCCGATGCACTGCTGATGCATCGTCGATGCATCGACGAGGCGGCGCGATCCTCCGACCCCATCTTCTCGGACCCCAATTGGGAGGCCTCTAGTTTTGACCCGGCGGAAAATCTCATCCCTGACCTTCCAGAGTGGTACAGAGTCACAGTCCATACCCACAGACCTGTTTGGACTGCCTCAAGCCTCGACAGGCATCTGGAGGTCGGCGTCCCGGTGCTATGCTGTAGCCCTCCTGGAATGGTCGGGGCGTGCGGCCCCGGCGGCCCCATCGCGGCCTCTCCTCTCGCCGTGTGCGTCGGGGGCCCGCGCCCGTGCTCGGCGGCCACGTGCGAGCCCTGCCCCACCACCCTACGATTCCTGAGGGGGGGGGCCAAATAACATACACCACCACCACGTCGATTCCTCCTCTCTCCTCTTTCCAGCGAGAGGGAGTTGGGGAGGGAGGTGGTGGTGGTGTATATTTTTGGGCCCCCCCCATGAGGGGGGGAGGTGGAGCTCGCTTCGCTCGGGAGCTCCCGAGCGAAACGACCCCCCCACCCCCTGACCTTCCAGGAGGGCTAAAACAATGGCACCAGGACGTCGACGTCCCGATTCCTGTCGAGGTTTTGGGCAGTCCAGATAGATCAATAGGTCTGGAGTGCTATTTTCTAGCACTCTGGAAAGTCAGGGCCCCCACCCCTCAGAAGTCGTGGGGGGGGGGGCTGGGGTGGAGCTCACACGCGGTCGCCTCTTGGGGCCCCCCTGTGTGTGGCCTTGAGGCCCCGCCTCGGCCTCCCCCCGCCGTGTGCGTCGGGGCCCGTGCCCGTGCCCACACACGCCTGACGACGGCGGGTCCCAGGAGGAGGAGGAGGAAGAGGAGGAGGAGGAGGAGGAGGAGGAGGAGAAGGAGGGGGAGGAGGAGGAGGAGGAGGAGGAGGAGGAGGAACAGGAGGAGGAACAGGAGGGAGGAAGAGGAGGAGGAGGAGGAGGAGGAGGGGAGGAAGGAGGGGGGGGCGGGGCCGTCCACCCCTCGTGGACCGGCCCCCCCCGGCCGCAGTGCGTGTCTCCCTCTCTCTCTCTCTCTCTCTCTCTCTCCCCCCCCTCGATCTCCCCCTCGATCTCTCCTCTGCTTCCTCCTCCTCCTCCTCCTCCTCCTCCGCCTCCTCCGCCTCCCCCTCCTCCTCCTCCTTCTCCTCCTCCTCCTCCTCCTCCTCCTCCTCCTCCTCCTCCTCCTCCTCCTCCTCCTCCTCCTCCTCCCCCTCCTCCTCCTCCCCCTCCTCCAATTGCGCTGCTCCGCGGCGCCCGCGCCCTCCCGCCCGAGTCCGAGCGCTCGCGAGGGGAGGTGGGAGGCCCCCCCCCCCCCTCTCTCTCTCTCGGGCGGCGTCGGCGCCGTCGCTCCCCACCCGCAGGCGGAGAGGTTCCTGGTGTTCCATCACGGGGGCCCCTTCCGGCTGCAGAGCGGCAAGGACCCGCGGAGCGGCGGGCACGCCCGCGGCCACGCCCTCGCGGTCCGGAGGCCGGGGCGCGCTCCCCCGGGGGTACGTTTTCCGCGCGCGGCGTCCTCGGTACACCACCATCGTGCGGCTTCGGATCTGGAGCTCTCTTATAGTAGCTCTCCAAAGAGCTCCGGGCATCTGAGCGCTCTTCCGTTATGCGCGCTCCCATGCCGCCCCCACGCGCCCGCGCTCTCGCCGCCGGCGCTCCGAAGCGAGTCTCCTTTCCCAGGCCCCAAGCAGGGCCGCCCTGCATCCGCGGGGGCCGCGGCTGGGGGGTCTGGACCGCGAGGCCCATGGGCGTGGACGCTCGCCTGGAGGGAGAAAGGCACACAGACACAGTGCATCGTCGATTCCCCAGACAAAGTGGGGAGATATGGGGAGTAGTACGGGGCGTGAAAATGACCACAGCCACTGTTTTTCTTTTGTTGCCGCCTTCCAGCCAGCAGAAACAAAGCAGTGGCTGTGGTATTTTTCGTTCAGCTTGGCACCAGGGAAATGACCACAACCACTGTTTTTTTTTCGGCCGGCTGGAAGGCGGCGCAAACAAGACGCAGTGGCTGTGGTCATTTTCCCGTCCCGCAAGTGGGGGGGGGAGCAAAAATCCAGAAAATATGGGGAAAGTATGGGGATCCTGTTGCTGGTGTCTATTTGTTTGCGTGTCCCGGGGCCCCTTCACGCTCGCCGCCTGGGAGAGGGGGCCGTGGTCAGAGCCGACGCCGCCTGCCTGCCGTGGCCGAGGTGCCACCTGCCTGCCCTGTGTAGCACGCCCGCGCACACTTGCGCCAGGGAGGCCTTGAGTACCAGCCTCGAACGTATCCCTATGCCTAAGATTACCATCGGGGGTGGACAGAACCCCCAACAGTGACACGTCGATTAGTGAATTGTCCGTTTTCGGTTCTCGAGAGGGCGCCGTGGCCGTTCTTTTCAAGGCTTGCGCCCGCCAGGTTTGGGCCTCCGGTCGTTTTCACTATGCCCCGTCTTACTAAAGGGGGGTCTGTCCATCCCGATATCAGCCTCGAACGTATCCCTATCCCTAAGATTGACACGCCCAAAGGCGATGACAATCTCAGGGATCTGCCCTCAAAAAGTAAGGGGATCCCTAAGATTGGCATCGTGGTGAGGAGGTGCCCAGCATAGGGATAGGGATATGTGCCAGGCTGGTAAAGGAAGGCCTTGAGTGTAGCAAGCCGACCGCAGCGGCGAGCCGGGCAGGGGGAGACTCGGCCCCCTACCATTATGAGATATAATGTTCCAACCACGTTAGCCTTGACCACTCGAAAGACTTCAGAGCACCAGACAAGCACAGAAGATCGAGGGTTTTCACGTGTCGGGCCCTGGGAGTCACTCGTCCGACACTGTTTCGACACGCTTTCGACACTTTTCCGGGGGCTCGAAATTATTTCTGGGATGTGGCCTTTCAGTGCGATGGGAGCAACATAACCCTACCACATCATCGGGCCTGCAGCAAGAGCTGAGAGAGTGAGCCGATCGCAAACATGGATTAAGTGGGCGTGGATTAGCGACAGGTCCCGTTCCCATGGCTAATCGCGGCTTTCCGCCGCCGAGCGAGGCGGCACCGGCCGCATTTTGGGGAGGGCACCTCCCCCGATACATGGATTTTGCGACCGCGCGCCAAATCCATGGATCGCTAATCCATGTTTGCGCGCCCCCGATGCTTTCCCCGAAGTCGATGGAGGAAGAGAAGAGCTGGGCTTAAGTCGGGCTTGTCCCTCCCTCTACAGGGGGAATATTAAAAGACAGTCCCAACAAAATACTCTGGGGACGATGTTTTGATTATTGTTTGTCTGTTTTGGAGTAGCTCTTTTTGTTTTACTATTTTTCATTGTTCGTCCAAGATCCGCCTGTAGGGGGGCATGCCCGACCTCAAGCTGGGCAGGGAGGAGAAGGAAGAGGAGTGACACGTGGCCTCGCCCACCGAGAGGAGCTCCCAGAGCTCCGGGTGGCGTACGAGACGTGGGGCCGACTGAGCGAGGCCCGCGACAACGTCGTGCTGCTGCAGTGCGGCAGCCCCTCCAGCTCCCACGCGCGCTCGCACCCGGGCAACCCCGAGAGGGGCTGGTGGGAGGACTTCATAGGCCGGGGAGCAGCAACAGTGGCACAGGCACACCTATTCCATTCCATTCCGGGCCGCCCCAGATGGGGTCCGAGTGCGGTAGGTTCGCGTCGTGTCGACAGGCGGCGACCCCGCCGCGGGCGTTCAAGGTTGAACGCCGCCAGTGGCCCCGAATCGGCCTATATGGAACGATCGAGCGATCGACGGTCGCCGATCGTTCAAGGTTGAACGATCCACGCGGAGTTAGAAACCAACGCCGGGGTCGTCACGACACGAACCTGACGTAGATGGGGTCGGAGGATCGCGCCGCATCGCCGGTGCATCGCCGATGCCTCGGCGATGCATCGGCGATGCGGCTCGATGTGGGGGCCCCATTTTCTCCATGCCGACGTCGCCGATGCATCGCCGACGTCGCCAGTGCATTGCCGATGCATCGCCGATGTATCGGCGATGCAGCGAGTCCCTCCGACCCCATCTACGAGGCCTCTAAGTGTATCCCAAGGGAAGAATCGCCTTAACCATTGTTGGCCAGGAGTCTTGGCCTGGGTTGGGCGGAGGGTTTGCCGGGGTGAGCCGGAGGGTTGGTCGATGTGTTGTATTTTCTTTGTTTGCCACCAGATGCAGAGAGGCGACCTCCAGAGGTCGCCACAGATGTCTTGGGTTGGCGTTGGACCCCCTCCCCACACCCACACCCTTGCGCGCCGAGCCCGCTAGGGGCGGCGCCAGCGACGCCGCGGGGGGTGTGGGGGGGCGGCGGGGTCTCAGCAGCGCGAGAAGGAAGTACCAGGGGTAGACCTCAACGCTGTTTGGGCGATTTCGTGGGCTGTTTTCGTTTCCACTTCGTTTTGCGTTAGAGGCGGATTGAAGACAAAACGAGGGAATACGAGAGCGAAACAGAAACAAAAAACAGCGTTTAGGTTCAGCCCTGGCTTCGAGCGTACGCACTGCACGAACGTTCGTACTGCGCGGCCACTCTGGCGGATGGGGGGGGGCCGTGTGCGTGTACGAGGTTGGGCGCGTACGTTTTTTTTTTTGTTTGTGTGTGTGTGTGTGTGTGCGTGTGTGCGGGGGGGGGGGGGGCTCCCTGGGGGTCGTCAGCGCCGACGCAGGCGCCCCGCGCGGTCCTCCGACAGCCGACGCTCACCACTGCGAGCCTCTCTTCGGCGGCGGGCCTGTGGGGGTGGGAAGTGAGCAGGAGAAGGCCTTCTCGGAAGGCTCGGACGTGCCCCGGTCTTCGGAGAAGTCTTCCGAGCCTTCCCCGAAAACGACAACAAAAGCCTTTCAGGAAGGCCGCGGAGGGATTCTCCGAGGAGCCCCGCCGCCCTTCCCCCCCCCCGCCGCTCGCCGCCCGGGCGTCTGCGGTGGTCCCGGCAGGGCCCGGCAAGCCCCTCGACACGAACCGCTTCCACGTCGTGTGCTCGAACCACCTGGGCGGGTGCGCGGGCTCCAGCGGGCCCTCCTCCGTGGACCCGCGGGACGGGCGCCGCTACGGAAGCCGCTGGCCGCGGATCGAGGTGCAGGACATGGTGAGCGCCCAGTTCGCCCTGCTGGACCACCTCGGCATCGAGGACGCCCTCCGCGCGGGCCGCCGCCGCGGGAGGGGGGAGAGTGCCAGGGTCGTGCTCGCCCAGCCTCCTCTGTCGTGTTCCTCTGTCTCTCTCGTTCTGTATGTTTTTTTTTGTTTTTTCTCTCTCTCTCTCTCTCTCTCTCTCTCTCTCCCTCCCTCTCTTCCTCTCCCCTCTCCTCCCCGTCCTCCTCCTCGTCTGTGATCCTCGCGTGCATGTGTGTGTTTACCTGTGCGCATGCGGCTGCCTGTTCTCTCTCTCTCTCTCTCTCTGTCTATCTCTCTGCCTCCTTCTCTTTGTCCCCCTCTCCCTCTCCCTCTCCTTCTCTCCCTCTCTCTCTCTGTCTATCTCTCTGCCTCCTCCTCTTTGTCCCCCCCTCCCTCTCCCTCTCCTTCTCTCCCTCTCTCTCTCTCTCTCCCTCTGTCTATCTCTCTGCCTCCTCCTCTTTGTCCCCCCCTCCCACTCCCTCCCTCTCCCTCTCCCTCTCCCTCTCTCCCTCTCCATGTGTATGTATACCTGTGAAGGGCTGGCGGCCCTCCGCCGCCGCCCCCCCTCCACACCTCGGAGTGCCCCGTCGTGGCCGGGCTGGGCAGGCGGGGCCGCCGGTGCTCTTTGCCGGATGGTCGCGGCGAGCATCTCGGCGGACTGGCCTGTGATCAAGGGCGCCCTGTCAAGCAGTGCCGAAGCGTCCTGGCTCGCTTTTCGCCCCACCAAACAATGTTCTGAGAACCTGTTGTGGTTTCCACGACATGTTCTCAGAGCATGTCTGTTTTAGATTGTTTTGTTTTAGCACATCGGGTTTATGTTCTAAAGAACAGCGTTTCTGTTCTTAGGATTTTTTGGGGGTCTTAGAACATTTCGTGGTATGACAATAGGAATGCCGGGACGGTCGGTCCCTGCTCAAGCCCTCGAGGGCGCGAAATTAATCGCGCTTCGCGGTTCGGCTCCGATTTCTACTCGTCGTCTGGCGGTCGGCGAGCATCTCGGGTGATTGGCCTGTTCGGGCCGGACGAAAGGGGGGGAATGGGAAAGGGGGGGTACGAAATCTGCTGCATGCAGCTGGTTTCGGCCCCGCCGCCGGGCCCATTCCTCGATACATGGCCGCCTCCGGCGCCGGGAGGCGCCTGGAAGATCAGCTACGTGAGCTGATTCTCAAACCCCCGCTTTGCTATCCCCCCCATTTCGCCCGACCCGACCTGTGTTCTAACGCGGTCGTTGACAGCTACTTGGAGAGCTGTCTGCTGGCTGGCTATTGGCGCGCGCCTGCAGTAGTTGATCAAGGAGGGGTGGTGGCCTCGGTAGCGCACTTCCACCTCACGTTGGTAGGGTTCGCGGCTTCGGGGGCGCGCACCCCTAGCTTTAAGTCGGGCGTGTCCCCCTACAGAGGGATTTTCGACGACAAATGGGAAAAATACCCCGAAAGGATCAATAAATATTCAAAAAATACTCCCAAGACTATTTTTGGATTATTTTGTTGATTATGTTTGGGGTATGTTTCACTTTTCGTCGAAAATCCCCATGTAGGGGGACACGCCCGACTTACGCCCACGGACACATCTACCCCAAGACCCAGCACATAACATGGCATGGCGCGTTTGGGCTGCCTCCGTTCGTTGTCTCGGGAGTGCGGGCTAGTTCTAATCGACCAGGGGTTGTGGCCTCTGGGGCGCGAATCTGCGTCAATGTACGAGGGAATGTAGCCTCGGAGTGAATGTATGGTGTTCTGAGGCGTCGTTGCTGGCAAGCGGTTGTGCTTTAATGGGCACGGGTTCCTTGTATCGTGCAAGGGGTTGTTGCCTCAGGACCGCGAAGGCGTTGTAAGTGGTAAGGGGTTGTGGCTTCGCGGGCGCACGCTCGTTGCAATTTACAATGTCCCGCCCGACCCGACCCGACCCGCCCGTTAGGGTCCACCCGCCCGATTGGGCCGGCCCGTCACGGCTTTCGCGTGCCCACTCGATTACGCATATAATGCAATGCCCCGCCAGATCCGACCTGCCCGCCTGTTCGGGTGGGCCCGCCCGTCTCGACCCGCTTGTTAGAACGTGCTCCAGCCAACTTGATTGCGCACCAGATTGTAATGTCCCGTTCGACCAGACCCGCTGACCCGTTCGGGAACCCTTTTAAAGATCCTCCTGTGAGGGGGTGTCCGGGGAAAAACCCATACCCCTCCGCAGCCCCTCCGAAGCCTTCCGCAGTTTATTGGAACACCGATACCCGAACACGAACACGTGTTAGACAACAGCCAAGAGGGGGGGGGTTCTGCCAGAAGCCTACACGACCCATCGGACCCCTTCAGCCACTCCTCTCTGAAGAGGAGGCTCTGGGCGAACAGGCACCCCAACCGACCCGCCCCAACAGCGAACAGCCAAAAAACCTTGGGGGTGTGTGGTGGGGGGGGGGGGGGGGGGGGGGGGGCTCCCAGGGGGGGGGCCCGGGGAGCGGCCGCACGGGCCTCCCGCCGCCCCCCTTCAGGGCCTCCCGGATCGCGCCGCATCGCCGGTGCATCGGCGATGCATCAGCGTCGGGAGCCTTGATTTGCACGAACGAAATGGGCACGGAAAGAGTGGGTACGATGCCCAACAGCGGATCCTGTTCATCTTGAACAGGACTCGCTGTCCGCGCCGCCCGAGGCCTGTGTCCATTCGAGACAGAAGGCCGCCTGCCCAACAGCGGCCGCTGTTGGCTTGGGACAACATTTGCTCTTGGGCATGGTACCCGTTCTTTCCGTACCCATTTCGGGCGTCCAAATTTCAGACGGGGGTCAATGCAAACGGGGGTCAGCCAGAGCGCACGATCCTGCAGGGCCATGGGTCGCACTGACCCGGGTGTGGTTGCAGGATCCTGCAGGATCCTTCGCACTGACCCTGGTCTGGGTGCAGGATCTTGCAGGACCCTTGACTGACCCGGGTCTGGATTGACCCGGGTTAGAAGATTCTCGACAGTGATGCGGCTCGACGTGGGGCCCAAGTTTCTCCACGCCGACGTCGCCGATGCATCGCCAACGTTGACGATGCATGACCAGTGCACCGTCGATGTATCGCCGATGTATCGGCGATGCGGCGCGATCCTCCAACCCAATCTACTCCGACCCCATCTATGAGGCCTCTGTCCTCTCCCCTTTCAAGAGCTCCGACATCGGGGGCGCTATTGTCGGCGTGGGCTCCTGAGGTCACGCGGACCTGCGCCCCCTGGGGCGGGCTTCTCATCCTTTCTGTGGCAGTCGGCCCGCTCTGTACACGTGGGTCGTGAGAAGTAGGTGCTTCTGGACCCCCCTCATCCTCCTCCTCCGCCTCCTCCTTCTCCTTCGCCTCCTCCTCCCCCTCGTCCTTCTCCTCTTCCTCCCTCTCCTACTCCTCGCTCTCCTCCCAATGTTCTTGGGCCTCCTCCTCCTCCTGCCTCTGGAGTGGATTCAGGCAACATTCCCCATGCTCGCGCGCCTCGCCCTCCGTCACGAGCACTCGATCAACCACCTCGAGGCCACCTCGTACAGGCACGTGCAGATGCCGAGCAAACACGACGTGATCAAGGCGATGCAGTTGACGGCGAAGTTCTACGGCAGCGAGGCAGCGAGGCTCCGCAAGGACAACGCGCAGGCGCTGGCCGCGGGGCAGCTGGTGCAGGCGCTCGAATATCTGGGCATTCCTCATCCTCACGTCTTCCTGGCCCTGGTGGGGGCGCTCATTGCGCAAGGAGACAAGATCGGACAACTCAATCTGCAGGCCCTGCAGTCGTACATGGCCACGGTCAACCACGAGAAGCCCAGCAACGCGCTGCTGGCCGACAAGATCCACCACTGCCGCATGCAGACGACGCACACGGGGGAGTTCGTGAAGCTGTGGCTCAAGGTCGACCCTCCCGAGCTCGAGAACGTGGTGGTGGCCGCGCTGGTCCAGCTCGGCGGCAAGCACAAGCACGGCATCCCACCCAGGAGTCACGGAGCTCGAGTGATGCAGGTGCACCTGGACGCCCTCGAGAGCATCTGAATCTGACGGGCGTGCAAGATGAATCCAGGATTCAGCCCCCCTCGGCGTGCTTTCTGAGAGCGGCGACAACCCACTCCTCCCTTCGGACCAGCGGTGAAGCGAGAGCTTATTCTGGCGAGCGGTCGGTGACGGCTCGCTTGCCAGCTGAGGGAAGAGTGGAGGAGGCCACACCGCGGACCGAGTAATATATATCCAGTATCCAGTCTCTTTCTGCGTGCTTACAGCAAGTGGAGACGGCCCAATCCCCCCTCAGCCCCAGCAGTGAAGCGCAAGCTTTTTCTGGCGAGCTGTCGGTGACAGCTCGCCTGCCTGCTGTGGAAGGGGTGGAGGGGGCCACACCCGCACTGGGCATCGCGTCGACTCCTACCCAGCACGACGGTGAGGAATCCAGGATCCAGTCTCCCTCGGCGTGCTTGCCACGGACGGCGACGGCCTACTCCTCTCTTTGCCCCAGCAGTGAAGCGCAAGCTTATTCTGGCGAGCTGTCGATGACGGTTCGCTTGCCTGCTGTGGGTAGCGAAGAGGAGGCCACACGGGCTCTGCGTACTGCGTCGGCTCCTACCTCGCACTCTGCCAGTGAGTCCGAGTTCGGGGTCGCAGATGAGATGGACTGCAGCTCAGAGTAAGGCCATGGGACCGATTGCGCAGTCTGCGAGGGCCACGGGGTACATTCCGTCGACGTCGGGCGCGCCCCGTTCTCCAGCGGACCCCTCCTCGATGACCTCGTCTAGGCCGCCGAATCTGTCTGCCGCCTCCACCTCCTCCTCCAGTCAGAACCTCCCTCTCAGCAGTGTAATGAGTCTCCTTGGGCTGGCCCCCAGGCGTAAGTAGTTTTGGTTCCTGGGGCCCTCCCTGTGCGTTTGCTTTAAATCCTGTCCTTCCGGGGGAGTTGTCGAACCCGATTTCGGGTCGTCCCCCCTTCTTCTCGCGTGATGCCCCCCTCTCTCGTGGGCCATCGCGTGAGTCGGAGGCATGCGTAGGCTTGACTTTTTAGCTCACCCGGTGTTGCCCCTGCCCCTTCGGCTTGCCGTCTTCAAAAGGTGGCAATCCAGCCGTGGAAACGGGGTGGGTGGGAGCACCGTGCCACGAGGCCACGCGTGGTTCTGTCTGATGATAGGACCATGGCGCACTCTAGATGTGATTGCCGGTAGTTTAGTAATTCCGAGGGGTATTACTCCGCTCTGTAGTCGGTTGTGGGGCGTTGACCCGTGCTGGCGCACCTCTGTTGAGTCGTTCGTTCGTTCGTTTTCCTCCTCCTCCTCCTCCTCCTCCTCCTATTCCCCCTCTTCTGCGCCCTTCCCCTTCCCCTCCTCCTCCTCCTCCTCCTCCTCCTCCTCCTCCTCATCATCATCATCATCATCATCATCATCATCATCCCTTTCCCCCCCCTCCTCCTCCTCCTCCTCCTCCTCCTCCTCCTCCTCCACCTCTTCCTCCTCCTCCTCCTCCTCCTCCTCCTCCTCACCCTTTTCCTCCTCATCCTCCTTTTCCTTTTTCTTCTCCTTCTCGTTCTCGTTCTCGTTCTCCTACTCCTTCCGTTTGTTTGGGCGTGCCGAGATCCCCATCTACCTCAGCCGCCTTCCTGCTTCAAAAGCGTCGAGCGGCTGTCCCTCGTCCTCTTCAGGGGGCGGACGGACACCCAACCTATCTACAACGCCTTCCCAGCGGGAAGGCGTTGTAGATAGGTTGGGTTTCCTTCCGCACCCTTCATGTTTCTGCTCCGCCCCCTTCTGAACTTCCCAGTTCGCGCTTCTGTTCCCAGAAGCATGAAGTGGGAAGTTCCCCATTCATGTTTCTGCTCACGTCCCCCGGCCGACTGGTACAGGCAACCCGCATAGGAGGCATCGAGCGACGTTCCCAGGTTTTAGTCTTGCATCCTTGCCTGTCGGCCCGTCCTAGGCCGTTTTCGCTGGCCGCGCCCCGTTCGCCGAGAGTCGTCATGGTTTTTCTGGGCCCTTGCATGCTTATCGTGCGTCCTTAGTGTAATGTTCAAAACGTATGAGACAAATGATGTCCACCCTCTCCCCCCCAGATGGTGACAGCCATTACGTCGCCGCCGAAGAAGTATTGCTTTAAGTGTGCCCCAGAGAATTTCCCACGGAGACCAGAACGACGCGATGGATACACATACATATATGTATGTATATGTATATGTATGTGTATATATGTATATATATATATATATGTGTCGATAAATATTTGCATGTATGTCGATCCGATGTATGGTTGCATGTATGTATGCATGGATGTACGCATGCGTAAGTGGTATGTATTCACATATTTATGTATCTTATATATGATATATGCGGGGGAGAAGGCGCCGCGCGCCCTCGCGACGCTGTAGCAGCGAGTGCACCGGAAGCCCTTGCCGCACGGCACAGGCTCGTGGGAGCCGTTGGGCGGCGCCGTGTCCGCCGTCAGCTCGGGGATGCGCTTCGCTGCTGCGCGCGCCCGAGGAGGAGGAGGAGGAGGAGGAGGAGGAGGAGGAGGATCCAGAAGCAGGCAGAGGTAGAGGTAGAGGAGGAGCAGGAGGAGAAGGAGGAGGAGGAGGAGGAGGAGGAGGAGGAGGAGGATAGTATAGAGTAGGAGCAGGGGACACGGCAAGAAGCTCCCCCGGGCGGCCCCTCGACGCGCCACTGGGAAGCCCGTGGGCCCCAGGCACGCGCCGAGCTCGCGCCGGGAGGCGAAAGACGCGCCCGGCAGGCGCCAAAAGGGAGCTGCAGGAGCGGTCCAAGAGGCCTCCAAGACGGCCCAGAAGGCGATCCAAGAGGCCTCCAAGACGGCCCAGAAGGCGCCAAGGGAGCTCCAAGAGCGGTACAAGAGACCTCCAAGACGGCCCAGAAGGCTCCAAGAGCGATCCAAGAGGCCTCCAAGACGGCCCAGAAGGCGCCAAGAGGCCTCCAAGACGGCCCAGACGCGCCCAGAAGGCGCCAAGGGAGCTCCAAAAGCGATCCAAGACGCGCCCAGAAGGCGCCAAGAGCTCCAAGAGCGAGCCTTCCAAGACGCCCAAGATGGCCTCAATATGGCGGTCGCGGGGACGTCCCTGGCGGTCCGGCTTGCCCCGCCGTCAGCGTTTGGAAATAGCTTTTTGTTTGCTGTCCCCCCAGGAGGTGTTGGGATTGTGTTTCGAGCTTACGGGTTGGCTGCAGCGGGCGAAGATCGCTGGTGCATGAAGTTTTCCGCCGTCGGGGACGCCTGCCCCGGGGCGGTTGGAGAGATGATGCCCCAGCGTGCTAGCTTAGGGGCATAAAGTTGCCAGCCGCCCTGGGGCAGTCGTCCCCGACGGCGGGGCAGCCTATCTCATATCGCTCTTCGTCCGCTCACTCTAGGCCGCCCGAATGAGGTCGGAGTGGATGGGGTGGGGGGATCGCGCCGCGCATCACCGAACGAGTCGCCTTTGCCTCGGCGATGCATAGACGATGCGGCGAGATCCTCCGACCCCATCTGCTCCGACCCCATTTGCCCAGACCTATAGATCTATTTGGACTGCCTCAAACCTCGACAGGAATTAGGACGTCGACATCCTGGTGTTATTCTTTAGCCCTCCTGGCAGGTCAGGGTGGGAGGCCTCCTCATCCTGTCGAGAGCAGCTGGCCGTCCAGGGGCCCGGCGAAGGCGTCTCTGGAGGCCGAGAGCACTGCCCCAAAACCCTTGCTGGCGCGGTCATCCCTCGCAACGCGGCGAGGTGGGGGCCCCCCATCTCTCTCTTCCCGCCTCCCGCGGGTCGGCCTCGGCGGCCGGGGCCGTCCCTGTCCACGGGGGGAGGGCGAGGAAGCGATCGCGCGGCGGCGCGTGCGGCGCAAGGCGTACGTCGGGCCTGTGCTCTAGAGGGGGGTTCTGGGCGAAAAATGAAAAATATCCAAAACATGCCCCAAAATAGTCAAAACATACTTTTAAACATAGTCCCCCGACTATTTTGGCACTATGTTTTGATCACTTTTGGGGTATTTTGTATTTTTTCGTCGAAAATCCCCCTGTAGGGGGACAGGCCCGACGTCACGCAGGGCGCAGACTTCGGAGGGCACAGGCGCACCACCGCGGACACGGGCCGCAGAGGGCGCCCCGCGGCCACCCGCGGGGCTGGCTGCGCGTTGGGGCCAGCGCGGAGGCAGAGCGGCGCGTCGCCCGTCGCGGCCTGGGCTGCGGAAGGCGCCCCTTCGAGGGAGATATCTCCTGCGAGGCGGGGATATCGCCCTCCTCCCTCCCCCCTCCTCCTCCTCCTCCTCCTCCTCCTCTTCCTCCTCCTCCTCCTCCTCCTCCTCCTCCTCCTCCTCCTCCTCGCCCCGCCTGTTCCTCTGGGCGGCGGGGGCCGAAGGTAGGGGAGCAAAGAGTGGCATAAGCATAAAAGCTCGGAGGTCCGCGCGGAGTTCTCGGATCCGCGCTGGACCCCCCTGGCGGCGCCTCCGGCGCCGCCCCTGGCGCGCTCCGCGCGCCAGGGAGGGGGGGGGGTCCAGCGCCGATCCGAGAAATCCGCGCGGACCTCCGAGTTGTTATGCTTATTCCACTTTTGGTCCCTTAGAAGGGGCGCGGGGGCGGGGCGTGCGGTAGCGGGCTTCCGAGAGAGCGCCACGCGCGCCGGCACAGGAAGCTTTACGGTGTTCCAGCTGTTGCGAGGCCATGCTCGTTCATGCATGCTGAGCGGGCGTCCCTTCCTCATTGTGACGGCATTGCGGCTGGTGCCGCCGACCTCGAAGAACGTCGACAACGACGAGGACGACGAGCGACGACGACGACGACGACGACGACGACGACGACGACCACGACGACGCTAGTTTTTGTTAAGTCATGCTCTTGCATATGCGCGGGCGTCCTTATGCATGTAAAAAGAGCATCAAGTTTATTCGTGGCGAGAGAGGGGGGGAAGTGAGAAGGGCTGTGCCTTCTCAGAACGCTCGGAAGTTCCCCGGCCTTCCGAGGAGTTTTCCAAGCCTCCCCCGAAGACGCAGGCAACTCCCCAGCAGGCGCGAGGGCTTCTCAGAAGTCCCGCCGCAGTCTGAGAAGGCCAGCTCCTCCTCCTTCTCCTCCTCCTCCTCCTCCTCACTTCCCCCCCTCGCTCGCCGCCGAGTTCGTCGTTGAGCTCTGGCGCCGCGAGCCCGCCGGGCCCCGCAGCGCGTGCACGCCTGCGTCGGGACGTCCCTCGGCGGCATGCAGAGCCTGCTGGCCGCCGCGCGCTTCCCCGACCGCGTCGGCAGGCCCGGCGCTCCGGCGGGGGAGGGGGGGGCGGGAGCCTTGAGACGGGGGTCAGTGCAAACGGGGGTCAGCCAGGGCGCCAAATCCTGCAGGATCCTGCGAAGACCCCCTCTGGCTGACCCGGGTTAGCGAGCCGCTCGTGGCCGCGAGGCGGCATTGCCTATTGGTTGACCCGGGTTGGCGAAGATTTGTGTTGCAGCTTTTGTTCTTGCATTGCAGTTTTTGGTTTCCTGCTGACCCGGGTCTGGACTGACCCGGGTCAGGAGATCCCCGAGGGGGGCGGGCATGCAGCAGGAGGTCGTGGGCGGCAAAGGGGGGGGTGATGGCTACCCTGATCTTCCAGGAGGAACTGTGACCTCTTCGAGGCCCGGGGACCTCCTCGAGGCCTCGAACCCCCCTCGCGGGCCCGCAGGGGCTCCTCTTTCCAGGGGCCCTGGAGGGCCCCTGTTCTGCAGCCCTCGCTGCCCCCCCCATACTCCCCTGACCTTCCAGGAGGGCTTCAAGATAGCACCAGGACGTCGACGTCTTAATTACTGTCGAGGTTTGAGGCAGTCCAGATAGATCTATAGGTCTGGAGTGCTATTTTGTAGCACTCTGGAAGGTCAGGGTAGGGGGGGTGGATATCATGACGTGGGCCATGATATTTCCCCGGATCTCACGGCGCCTCTTCATGTTTCATTACGTCCCTGCCCCCCCCCACCCCCCTGGGCCGCGCACATGCCGCCGGCCATGATTTGCACCCCTCCCTCTTGGACGCCCCCCTCTTGGCCGCTCCTGAGGAGGGGACTCCCGACGAGCGGCGAGCGCGTCGAGATCCGCGCGTCAAGGAGTGGCGAAGCGTCCTGAGCTGCCTCTGGTCGGAGAATCGGGGAAACGTGAGACTCGAGCAGGCCAGGACTCGGGTTCGCCGCCTTTTTTGTCGACGAGCACGTCCTGGATTTTGACGGTCCCGACTTCGTGGGATGTCTGCAGACGGAGCCCGCGTCAAATTCCACATTGGGTCTTATCATTTTTAGAATGGCCCCTCGTCATTTTTATGATGGCCCCCGTCCGGCCAACCCGAGTCCCCCGTACCCGAGTTTTACGTCTCCCCGAAAGAAGAAAACAAACCGCCAAAAACATGAACTGTTGGCGCTCCACGCGGACTTCTTGGACCCGCACGGGGCCCCCCAGGCGGCGCCTCCGGCGCCGCCCTTGGCGCGCTCCGCGCGCCAGGGAGGAGGAACAGTGCGGATCCAAGAAATCTGCGCGGAGCGCCAACCGTTTATGTTATGCCGTTTCTTTTATATTCAGGCCCACAAATAAATGCTATGACAATTTGTTGTGGTCTGCACGGTATATTATTCGAGCAGTTCTGGCTGACACCGCCTGGTTTCGACACAATCCGTCTTCGTCGGATAAGAACAGTGTCTTTGTGATTGCATCATTATTTAGTTCTAAGAACGTGTCGTGGCAGGCCTACAGGAGTGCCGGGGCGAGTGGTCCTTGCAAACGACGGACGAACACGGGGTCGATTGCGCGGACATTTGTGCGCCAATTTCCCGCGTACTGTCGCGCGTAGAGCCGCCCTCTCCTCCACGAGGTGTGCCACGCTGGCCTCCCGTGTCCGCCGCGGCGCAAGGTCGGCCGTGTCTCCTCGCGCAAGACGCTGCTTTGCGTCGTCGCTCGTACGGTCGGGGCGCTGAGGAAGGAACCCTTCTCGTTGGGGAGGGGCTCGGTGTTCCTCAGCTGTCTTGTAGTTCGCCTCTGGCTCTGCTGAGGGCTTCGATGGGAGATCGACGTTGAACTTGTGGGAAAAAGGGGCCTCGTTCCGTATTTTTAGGGTTCCTTAGGTCAACGCCCCGACGGTGGCCCCCGCGGCCCGGAGGCCGAGGCGCGGAGCCCCCCCCCGAGAGAGACGCCAGTGTTGTGGGGGCGCCCCGCCCCGCGCGGGCTGCCCGCGCATGAGGGCCGCCCTGCGCCCGCGGGGGTCGCGGCCCGGGCGAGCCCGGAGCACCGCGGCGCCGCGGCTACACCAGGCGGAGGAGGAGGAGGAGGAGGAGGAGGAGGAGGAGGAGGAGGAGGAGGAGGAGGATGAGGAGGAGGTGGGGGGGGGGGGCGCGAAGGCGGCGGCGGCGCCGCCGACGTCCACGCCCTCCTCCCTCCCACGGGTACCGCTTCCAGCCGGCCCGTTCCGATTCGCTCCCGACGCTCCGACGATCCTGCCCTCCCGCGCGGAGCGCAGGTGCAGGGCGGCTGGTCCAGGCTCAGGGCGGTGCTGAGGCGAACTTGGTGCATCAGGCGTTCCCCGCGAGTACAGTCGAGGCGTTGACCTAAGGAACCCTACATAAGGAACGAGGCCCCTTGTTTCCATGAGTTGAACCTCGACTTCCCATCGAACATGTGAGGAGAATCTTAGGCAAGGAGTGGCACGATGAAGGAACACCGAGCCCCTCCCCAACGAAAAGGGTTCCTTTTTCAGAGCCCCGAATCATCCAGGGGAACTCGGGCCAGGGCCAACTCGGGTTCGTGTTTCGGGATTCCGAGCCCGAGTTAACCCGGACCCGAGCTACCCCGGGTAACTCGGGCGTCCAGAGCCCCGAATCATCAGGGGTAACTCGGGTCAGGGCCAACTCGGGTTCGTTTTCCGTATCCGATCCCGAGTTACCCCGGGATCCGAGCTACCCCGGATAACTCGGGCGTCCAGAGCCCCGAATCATCAGGGGGAACTCGGGTCAGGGCTAACTCGGGTTCGTTTTTCGGGAATCCGAACCCGAGTCACCCCGGACCCGAGTTACCCCGGAGAACTCGGGCGCCCAGAGCCCCGAATCATCAGGGGGAACTCGGGCCAGGGCTAACTCGGGTTCGTTTTTCGGGAATCCGAACCCGAGTCACCCCGGACCCGAGTTACCCCGGAGAACTCGGGCGCCCAGAGCCCCGAATCATCCGGGGGAACTCGGGCCAGGGCTAACTGGGGTTCGTGTTACGGGATTCCAGCCCCGAGTTACCCCGGACCCGAGCTACCCCGGATATTTCGGGCGCCCAGAGCCCGGAATCATCAGGGGTAACTCGGGCCAGGGCTAACTCGGGTTCGTGTTTTCGGGAATCCGAACCCGAGTCACCCCGGACCCGAGTTACCCCGGAGAACTCGGGCGCCCAGAGCCCCGAATCATCCGGGGGAACTCGGGCCAGGGCTAACTGGGGTTCGTGTTGCGGGATTCCAGCCCCGAGTTACCCCGTACCCGAGTTACCCCGGATATTTCGGGCGCCCAGAGCCCGGAATCATCAGGGGTAACTCGGGCCAGGGCAATTTCGGGTTCGTGTTTTCGGGATTCCGAGCCCGAGTTAACCCGGACCCGAGCTACCCCGGGTAATTCTGGCGCCCAGAGCCCCGAATCATCCGGGGGAACTCGGGCCAGGGCTAACTGGGGTTCGTGTTACGGGATTCCAACCCCGAGTTACCCCGTACCCGAGTTACCCCGGATATTTCAGGCGCCCAGAGCCTGGAATCATCAGGGGTAACTCGGGCCAGGGCTAACTCGGGTTCGTGTTTTCGGGATTCCGAACCCGAGTTACCCCGGACCCGAGTTACCCCGGATAACTCGGGCGCCCAGACTATGGCGAACTTGTGCATCGTGCGTCTCCCGCGGGTAGCTACGTCTCCCACGCCGCTTGGACTTCGGACGGGCGTGTCCTATCCCTTGGCATCGCTCGGACGTGTGCATTTTTCCCTCGGCGAGGACCATCGACGAGGAGCATCCTCGATCATTTGGCGCAAAAGCCACGCACGAAACCTAACAGAAACACAATCGCCTGGCTCGATCGTCCTTTGTCGTTCTTGCGAAGGCCTCCCAGGAGTTGCTTCTTCATCTCCTGTCGGCGGAGCCCCCGGGCGGCAGCGAGCGTGGGCAGGCCTTCTCAGAGAAGCCTCGCCGCCGGCTGAGACGGCCTGCCCCCTGTAATTACCTGCCCCCTCTTGTGCTCGCCGCCGATCTCGAGAGCGCTTGTCAGTTGCCTGGCAGTCATGGGCGTGATTGGGAGGGGAAGGGGGGGGGAGGAGAGTCAGGTGATCGCAAACATGGATCAAGGCGGCGTGGATTAGCGACGGGTCCCGTTCCCCTAGGAAATCGCGGCTTTCCGCCGCCGAGCGAGGCGGCACCGGCCACATTTTGGGAGGACGCCTCCCCCGATCCATGGATTTGGCGACCGCGCGCCAAATCCATGAATTGGTAACCATGCTTGCGCGCCCCCGAGAAGGGGAGGAGGAGGAGGAGAGGCCAGTCTGCGGACGTCTCGCGCCAGCGCCCCCGGGGAGTGCCTCGTGGTGGCTAGTTCCAGGACGGCGCCGGCGCGACTCTTGCGGCGTGACCACGGGGGGGTGTGGGGGGTGCCGGGGCGGCGGGGCCGGTCACGGGTTTCAGCTAAGATTTTAAGAGGATCAAGTCTGGACGCCCGACATGGGCACGGAAAGAATGGGTACCATGCCCAACAGCAGTTCCTGTTCAGTTTGAACAGGGTTCGCTGTCCACGCCGCCGCGGCCCTTGTTCATTCGAGACAGGAGGCCGCCTGCCCAACAGCGGCCGCTGTTGGTTCGGGACAACATTTGCTGTTGGGCACTGAACCCTTTCTCCCGTACCCATTTCGGGCGTCCAAATCAAGAGGTAATGATGCTGATGCATCCCAGGATTGCCAATGCTTCCAGGATTTCCCTCAATGGAGAGGCCTTACGGTCGTTGCCGCCGACACTGATCGACGACGACGACACCGGCGGCGGCGGCGGTGTTAGATCTTGGTATACGGTTTTAATTATGTCTTTGGTGTCGACTCTCGTAGATTAGCGTCTGGGAGTCGATGACAAAGCGTCGATGTAGCGTTGGTTAGTGTCGACGATCGTCAATTTGGCATCGATCAGCGTTGATCTAGCGTCGATCAGCGTCGATTCGCAAGAGCCGACAAGATGGTATGGGAGGCTCCCGCGAGTTGCCACTGAACATTCCACTATTCCCAAGGGTTCCAGGATGTCCCATGTTTTCGGATGGCCCGTACCCACTGCCCCGCCAGATGTTCTGGAAGTCCTGGAACGCATCCTGAGCCAGTCCCATCATGGCGTCATTCTCGCCTGAAGTCGGGCCTGTCCCTCTACAGGAGGCAAAAATAGTCTGGGGACGATGTTTTGACAATTTTTGCATATGTTTGGGGTATGTGTGGGGTACTTTTATTTTTCGTCCAAGATCCCCCTGTAGGGGGACAGGCCCGATTTAATTTTCGCCCTAGAGAGGGGGCGTGGCGGGCGGGGCCATGCACAGGCGTTCTCGCGACGAATGCAACATGGGGTTCCTTGGGGGACCAGAGTCGCACATCGTCCCTCGGACCTCCTCTTTGGGTGCGCTCTTGAAAATACTACTACTACCACTACTACTACTGCTGCTGCTGCTGCTGCTGCTGCTGCTGCTACTCCTACTACTACTACTACTACTACCACTACTACTACTACTACTACTACTACTACTACTACTACTACTACTACTACTACTACTACTACTACTTCTACTACTACTACTACTACTACTACTACTACTACTACTACTACTACTACTACTACTACTACTACTACTACTACTACTACTACTACTACTACTACTACTACTACTACTACTGCGACGGCGACGACGACGACGGCGACGACGAACGACGACGACGACGACGACGACGAGACGACGACTACTAACACTACTACTACTACTACTACTACTACTACTACTACTACTACTACTACTACTACTACTACTACTACTACTACTACTACTTCTACTACTACTACTACTACTATTATTATTTATAATAATACTACTAATATTAAAGTACTACCTCTATTACTACTACGAAGACGACCAGAATTCGGACGCGAATCAAGCCGTGGCGACAGGAAGCCCCCCCGGTTACGATTTCGATTAGCGGAAGCCGTGCATCCAGGAAGGACGCGTGGAGAGGGAGCGCGGTCAAAAGGTTGACAGATTCGCGTCCAGCGCGCCAAGTTCGGACGAAAGGAGGGGATTGGGAAAGGGGGGGGTTAGGAAATTTGTTGCATGCAGCTGGTTTCGGCCCCTCCGAGGGGCCCCTTCCTCGATGCACAGCCACCTCCGGCTTCCAGGAGGCGCCGGCAAAATCAGCTACGTGAGCTGATTCTCAACTCCTCCCTCTGCTATCCCCCCCTTCTCGCCCGACCCGACAAGTCAGGGGGAGGGGAGAGGGAGGAGGGGAGGCAGGAAGAAGGGAGGAGGCGGGGAGGGACGAGGGAGGGGAGTGAGGAGGGGAGACGGAGGAGGGGAGAGGGAGGAGGGAGGAGGGGCAGGGGAGAGGGAGGAGGGGAGAGGGAGGAGGGGAGGAGGGAGGAAGAAGGCCTCGACCTGCGAAGTTCGAAGCTCGAAGGTTTCAGGCCCCCCATGGGCCAAAGGCGGCCTCGATCTTCGATGGCGGCAGCTCGACGTTTCTTTGGGTCGCAGAACTCTGAAGGGAAAAAGAGCACACAGACACAAACAGTCGACGATTCACACGAACATATGGGAATGGGAAGTGGGGGGGAAGACGAACATCCAGGAAAGATGGAAAGGTATTGAGGGTGCTGGCATTTTTCCCTACCTAGGCTCTGCCTAGAAGGGTTCTTACTCGGTATGCTTAAAGGGCTGGGCAGTGCAACTCGCCCCGGGCGGTTCCCCCAGTATCCGCCCCGCGGTTCCCCCAGCTACGTCCCCTTATCTTAGCGTTGCTTATTTCATCTTAGCTTAGCCTAGCTTAACTCAGCTTTAGCTTAGCTTAGCTTCGCTTAGCTTAGCCTAGCTTAGCTTAGCTTAGCTTAACTGAGCTTAGCTTAGCTTAGCCTAGCCTAGCTTAGCTCAGCTTAGCTTAGCTCAGCTCAGCTTAGCTCATCGCATCGCAGCATTCGCATTGCATAGCATGGCATGGCATATCATAGCAGAGCAGAGCATAGCATAGCGCAGCATAGCATAGCGCAGCATATCATAGCATAGCATAGCGCAGCACATCATAGCATATCTTAGCTTATCTCAGCATAACACAGCGCAGCATAGCATAGCATAGCATAGCATAGCGCAGTATAGCACAGCATAGCATAGCATAGCTGTCGGTGTAGATGTTGATGTTGCTTTCCTAGATGCTCCAACTCCAGGGTAAGGTCGCACTGGGATAATGTGTGTATGTGTGTTTTTAAGTGTCCGTGCGTTCGACAATGTGCGTGCGTGTGCGCGCTCGCGTGCGCGTGCGCGTGCGCGTGCGCTTGCGCGTGCGCGTGCGCGTGCATGCGTGGGCGATCATGCGTGCATGCGTGCATGCGTGCATTCGTGCACGTGTGTGTGTGTGTGTGTGTGTGTGTGTGTTGTGCCCCTTGCAGAGCCTGCCCCCCTGCAGCTCCCCGGCAGGAGCTCGAGGCTGCCCCGAGCTCCGCCTCCTGCCAGGGGGGGGAGGCCGGCCCGCCCACCGCCAGGCTCGTGACCATCTCCGCGTGCGCCCGCCCGTGCTGCGGGAGCATCGCCTTCCGGCACGTGCAGCGGGAGGCGCCTTCGGGGCTCAAGAGACGTCTGTAGTCGTCGTCTTCATCTTCATTGTTTTGCCGATCGGCGCGGGCCCTCGCACCCCCCTCTTCCCCTCCTCCCTCCCCTGAGGAGTAGGTCTTGGCTGTTCCGGGCGCCTGTTTCGAGCAGGTGGAGTCGCCCTCACAGGACGCACGGTCGCAAACAGGCGCACTAAGCAGAGGTCCGGAGTCAGCCCCCCCCCTCCACCCCCTCCTGACTCTGGCCGGTTGCGCGGGTTCCCGCCGCGCCTGTGTGTGTTCCAGTCTGGGCCTGTCCCTCTACAGGAGGAGAATTCAAACATAGTAAAACAATAGTACTGGGATTATTTTTTCTGTATTGTTGGTTTCTTTTAGGGTATGGTTTGATTTTTTTTCATTTTTCGCCCAAAATTTCCTTTTAGGGGGACAGGCCCGACCTAATCCAAGCACTGCGGGCCTCTTCTGATCTTCGTTTGCACTGAGCGTGCCTGAAGGCACCCTCCTCGTGATACAAAAAAGGGGCTGTGTTGGTCACTGGGCAATAACCGCATGCCGATGATAATAAAGGGACCCCCCCACCTTCAGTGTTTAGAGTTGATTATCGTCGCCCTATACAAAATTCAAATTGGGCGGCGAGCGCTGAGGCCGAACTTCATTATCACCTCGAAACGCTATGTTGAGATAGCAACATCAAGCGATGTTGATATAGCAACATCAAGCGAAGCGATCACACTTTTTCAGGATGTGTCAAGCGAAACCAATAATTTTGGGAGGCAGACTCAAACGAAACGAGCAATATTCTTATTATTATTCTACTTTCCTCTTCTTTTTTTATATTTCTATCTGTCCTCACGCTCGCCTGAACTTTTTTATCCCTGGGGTTGATTATCCATGGAAAATGAAGCACATGAGCTACCCTACACGAGCACTTAAAAAATCAATTTTCATAAAGCGTTTGTAAATTAAAATTGATAGATTTGGAACTTTGGATTTTTCCTTTCTTCGTCCTCTTCTTATTCTCCTCTTCTTCTTCTTTCTTATTATTCTTCTACTGTATTCTTCTTCTTTTATATTTCTCTCTGTCCCCACGCTCGCCTGAACTTTTTTATCTCTGGGGTTGATTATCCATGGAAATTGAGGCACATGAGCTACCCTACACGAGCACTTACAAAAAAACAATTTTCATGAGAGATAAGCCATTGTTGAGGATATTTCTATGAAAACTAAACGCCAAGGATGTCTCAAAACGTGCTCGGCTTGGTCTCCTCTTGATCATCTCTTACTTCGAGATTATGCTGAGGTCTGCTGGGCTACTTTTATTATCTCTCCCTGAACCCCGAACTTTATTATCCCCTAGTGTTTATTCTCACGGGCATGAGGTTATTTAACGAGGGCTCGTGGCGCGGGAGGCCCTTGAGCGCTTGGGAGCACTCCCTGGGAATGCGCGAAGTGCACGATCCTCGAGCGGGTGCGCTTTGGAGGAGGGGTCGAGGACTCAGCGGCCATGCGGGGAGGGCACGGTCCTCGAGCGGGCGCGCACGGAAGGAGGGTTCGGGCACTGGTTGCCATGCGGGCCGTGCGCCATCCACGCGGGAAGCGTGCCGTCCTCGAGCGGGCACACGCGGAAAGGGTTTGTTTCGGAGGTTGGGGGCGAGGTCGCAGTGGAACGGAGAGTCCCCCACCGGGAAATCGGTTTCTCCGGAGGGGCAAAAACACACAGGCACGATTAATCATTAATCGTCGATTCCCAGGAAATTTTTGGGAAAATATGGGGAGTGGGGTGAAGACAGAACCCCAACAAAAATACAGGAACATATGGGGAATCCAGTTAGTTGTGTGTATTTATCTGCGTGTCCCAGGGCCCCTTCAGTTTCGGTCTCGTGTTCGTGCCGTGCGCGCGGGCGAGGCGACGCCGCGGGGGCGCGCGGGCGCGGAGCGACCCCCGCCGTCGCTGCAGGGCGCCTCGGACGCAGCGCGGGCCGCCCCGCCGCCCCAGAGCTGGGCGCGCAGTGGCCCCCCCCTGGGGGGGGGTCGCGCCGTGGGTGCTCCGTCGGCGTGCCGTCGGCGACCGGCGGGCGGTGGCCGGGGGGGTGTCCCGCCTTGGTGCCGACGGTGTGAAGTCGGGCCTGTCCACCTACAGGGGGACTCTCGACGAAACATGAAAAATACCCCCAGAAATGCCCCCAAAGGTCAAAGAGTGCTAGAAGAGTAGTCCCCAGACTATTTTTGGGCCATGTTTTGATTATCTTGGGGGTATTTTCTGTATTTTTCGTCGAACATCGCCCTGTAGGGGGACAGGCCCGACTTAACGATAGTGAAGTGGAGAGTGAGACCGATGACGAGATCGCCAGACTGGGAGGGGTAGCGATTTCAAGAGTGAGATATACGGGGAGGTTGGCTGTGGCGCTGGTTGTGCTCGCGTTGTCGGATGCGCAGGGGGCTGGCGATCTCCCCTGGGGCGAGCGCACTGGGATCGATGGCTGGATCCATTGGTACTAAGACTGACCGTGATGTCGATAGTGGGATCGACCGGTTGAGGTCGAAAGCGCTGACGATAGCGACATTACACCGCAGCGCACCATCGTCATCACGCGTCGTCGCCAACTCGAGTGCGCACCACCAGCATCGTCATCATCACGCCCATCGCATTTGCCAGCTGTTGGCTCATCACCCGCCCTCGCAGTCTCCTGATCACCCGAAGGGTGGTCGTCGAGGTACGGTAGGTTCGCGTCGTGTCGACCGGCGGCGACCCCGCCGCAGGCGGTCAACGTTGAACGCCGCCGGCGACCCCGAATCGGTCGATGTTGAACGGTCGAACGTTGCGGAAGTGGCCGATCGTTCAAGGTCGAACGATCCAGCGCGGTGTCAGGAACCAACGCCAGGGTCGGCACGACACGAACCCATCGTAAGTAATTATTCGCTGCCGTGCTGGAAGTGCGCACCATACTCGAGCAGGCGCGCGGGGGAGGTGGCCCCCAGTGAGCAGGAAGGAGGCACGCAGCAGGCTGCAGAGCGGGGGGTCGGCCCCGTGTAAGACTTGCAGAAGCAGAGCGGGGGGTCGGCCCCGTGTGGTCATAGCTCTCTCTGCTTCTCTGCTTTTTCCTCGTGTTCCTCTCTCTTCTGTCTCCCCCCCCTCTCCTCTTCCTCCTCCTCCTCCTCCTCCCCCTCCCTCTGTTCCTGCTCCTGCTCCTCCTCTTCCTCCTCCTCAATCTCCTCCTCCTCCTCCTCATCCTTCTCCTCCCCCTCCTCCTCCTCCTCCTCATCGTCCTCCTCCTCCTCTCTGTAGCAGCACAGCACCAAGACCAGACGACGCTTGGCGCCATCAGTGCAAGGAAACACTGTGTATGTTTTGTTTGTTCTGCTTATGTTGGTTTGTGGAGCCACGAACCACTGTATTGTTGTTGTTGTTGTTGTTGTTGTTGTTGTTGTTGTTGTTGTTGTTGTTGTTGTTGTTGTTGTTGTTGAACATTATTAATTCTAAAGAATAATTATTGTTGGGGCCCCTGGTGCACGGCCCCCCTGCGCCGCCTAGGCCGCAGCTACATTTTCATCATTTTCGTGAGGAAGCCTCAGGTAATTCGATGTGATCAAGATCCGGTTGTTTTGTTTCCCCCCGCTTTCCCTTGCAAAAAACACTATAAAATGACATTTCTTGTTCTAATATAATCAAATTTCAAGAATCCCTTGCAAAAAATAAGGTAAAGTGGACATTCGCGCGCGCAAGACGAAATCCTTCCAAAAGCTTAGTGTTCGGAGCGATTTTAACATAAAAACATCAAAAAACCAATGGTTTTTCAACAAAAAAATGTCAAAATCTCATCCCGCGCGCTCTTGCGGATTCGTAGGAAAACCAACACTTTTTAAACATTTCTGTCAAACGGGCTTTTGCGAGCAACTTTTTCGAACTTCTGCGACAACGGTTGCGCACCTGCCAGGGCCATCATCCCTGTCAAATAATACCATGCGGGACAGATTCGTTTTTTGCGCGCGCACGCCGAAATCTCCAAAAACCATTGGGTTCTCTGTCTCTCTCTCTGTCTCTCTGTATTATGTATTGTATGGCACAATTGCACCATGCTGGGCACATGCGCGCCCCGAATAAGTGACCAAGTTCTGTGGGTGTGTACCCCACGCCAGTGTAGTAGCCACGGTCGTCCGCACGCCACGAAGTGAAGTGTCCCAACGTCATAGGGCGGGAAGCTGGGTTTGGGTGGTCGCGAAGAGTCGTTTGGATATTTGGTAGAGCTTGTAATGCCCCCCCACGAAGTGGGGGTATTGCCTGGTGTCGTATGAAAACCCTGGCACTGGGGAGAACACCACGCGTTCGGGTAAAATGATTGTTGTTGTTGTTGTTGTTGTTGTTGCTGTTGTTGCTGTTGTTGCTGTTGTTGCTGTTGTTGCTGTTGTTGCTGAACTCTCATTTCTGGAGAAAAATAATGGTTGACCCCCCATCACTGGTGTATATTGTTTTTTCTCAATCAAAGAGTGCCCCTCGACGCTCGCACCCTGTTTTTTTGGACAGGGAAAGTCTTCGTGCTCAAACTGTGCCCCTGGCCCCCTGAACTACAACAACGGCTCCCGTTTGAGACTTTCTCCAATTGTACTCAGGACCCCCGCTCCCGCCTGAGACTTCCTCACAGTTTACTCAGGATCGGTGGTCCGCCTATGGCTTCCTCGCAATTTAATCAGGACCCCCGCTCCCATCTGAGATTTCTTTACGATTTACTCAGGAACGGCGCTCCCGCTTGAGACTTCTTTGTAATTGAACCGAAACTCCTTTGCAATTTAACCAAGACCCCCGCTCGCGCCAGAGAACCCTTTACATGTTATGCAGGAATTGCGCTCTCACTTGTGACTTCCATGCAATGTATTCAGAAATCGTGCTTTCGACACTCAGGAAACACGCTGCGCCGAGGACGCCGTCACAATTTAGTTAGCAATCGCGCTCTCGCCATACTCAGGCATCCCGCTTGAATGTCCCACCTGCCCGACCCGCCTGTTTGGGGATCGCCCGCCCGTCGTAGGATCCCGCCCGGGACTTCCTTCAGGAACGGCGCTTTCGCCTAGGACTTCTTCGAACGTTCACGCTCTTACCTTCCTGATCCTCCTCCCTCTCCCTCTCTCCCTCCTCGCCTCCCTTCTCTCTCCCTCCTTTCTTCCCTCATCCTTAAGCCTCTCTGCCCTATCCCCTCACCCTCCTCTCCTTCCTCCCTTCTCCCTCCCCTCTCCTGCCTCCTCCCTCCTTTCTTTCTCTCGCTCATCTATCTCTCTCTCTCTCTCTCTCTCTCTCTCTCTTCCTCGTTCTGTACCTCTCTTATCAGTCTTTCTCTCTCTCTCTCTCTCTCTCTCTTCTCTCTCTCTGCCTCTAATGAACCGCCCCCTCTTTGTTCCTTATCTCCTGGCGTGTTCCCTCTTCCTTCGTCCCTTCCCCTCCCTTCCCCCCACTCTCCCTCGTTCTCCCCCCCTCTTTCTGCAGGGCCCACACCAGTTCCAATGGCGGGCACACGTACGCCCACGAAGGATTGTCCGCCCGTTCAGGGTTGCCCGCCCAATGGCGGGCACACGTACGCCCACGAAGGATTGTCCGCCCGTTCAGGGTTGCCCGCCTATCGAACCCCGCCGCCCCCCGCAAAGAAAAATAATCCCCCCAAAGGGGGTGAGATCGAAGACAAAAGGGCGGGTATCGAGGGAGTGGGGAACTCGTTTTGAATGACACACGGGCAAGTAAGAGCGATCACTCTTATAATGATTGCTGTTGGTGGTGTTGTTGGTGTTGTTGTTGCTGTTGTTTTCTTAGTTGGCTTTGCAAGCCCCAGTGCTCACCGCGGCCTCCATCGCAGCACTTCTTTGTGAACCTGCTAAACCAAGGAAAAATCAAAAACACAGTACTTGGCGCCCCTGGTACAAGAGGACTCTGCGTTTCTGTTTTTTGTTTAGTTTGGTTCGTGAAGTCACGAAGCATTGTGTTTTGTTGCAAACCCCACTTCTCGCCGCTGCCTCTCTCGCAGCACTTCTCGTTGAGCTTGCCAAGCGGTTAAAACAAACATGCACACTGTTTCTTTGCATTCCAGACTTCAACAAACAGCAACACCAACAATACAGTATATAGCTCCCTTACAGCCGTGCAATGAAACACTGTGTTTTTGTTTGGCTTGTGAAACCATGAAACACAGTGTATGTTTGTCTTTTGGGTTTTGCTGGCCCCGGTGCTCGCCGAGGCCTTTCTCGCAGCACTTCTCTCTGAACCTGCACCCCCCCCCAAAAAAACCAAACAATCAACCATACACCTTGTGCTTCCTTGCGTCCCATACCAAAACAACAAATACAGCATTACGCCCGTCGGGTTTTTGCCGTTCTGGCCTCCCTGAGCCCTCCAGCCGCTTGGGGCAGGTTGCAAAAGGGCTCAGGGCGAGAGCTGGTCCTGGGGGGGGGGGCCCGAGATCCAGTTTGGATGCCCGAAATGGGTACGGAAAAATGGGTACAATGCCCAACAACACATGTTGTCCTAATCCAACAGCGGCCGCTGTTGGGCAGGCGGCCTTCTGTTTCAAATGGACACAGGCCGCGGCGGCGCGGACAGCGAGTCCTGTTCAGAATGACCAAGAACTGATGTTGGGCATTGTACCAATTCTTTCCGTATCCATTTCGTTCGTTCTGATCCAGCAGCGGGTCCCTCAGGGCCCGTTTGTCTTATGCTGAGGTGGAGCGCCGAGGGCGTACAGTGGAAACCCATGCCAAGAAACACCCTGGTTTCCTCCAGGGTGCCCTGGGTTTCTTCGATTTCGATGGTTTTGCGATGGGAAGCGTGACGCTCCCACACCAAAAATCAATGGATGGCCTGGGGTCTCAGGCTGGTTGGGTTCTTGTGGAAGGTTTCTTGTGGACTGGTCTCCACAGTGTCAATCACCGGGGCGCAGCTGACGGGGAGCAGAGACGGTCAGTACTGCCGGGGTTCCGCCACTCCCGCGCCGCA